ACAAGATCTTTTCAATAAATAAATGACGATGGAATTGCAGTTGGATTTATTTTTTGATTCAATTCATAAGGGTAGTGATTAATCATTTGCGTAGTTAGAAATATGCCCGTATAACCATATTGGTACGACAAATTCATTTCGAATTTTGTTTGTTTCTGCTTTCTATCAAACTTGAATAATTCTTGTGATTTGCAAGTGGTGGTACCATCTAAACTTGCCAAGTGTTGTGTTATGCTTTGCATTGTTGTACCCTAGACCGAGGGCGGGACTTTGGACCCACGGTGCACGGGTTGATTTGTTCCGTAATAATTCGCTCTACGTAACAATCAATCAGAAGGTCCCTTGAAACATAAGACTCGGCGCCTTTGGGTTTGTAGTTTTGAATGATTTCATAATGTTTATTAACACTGTCAAATTTCAACGAAATCTTTGAAATTATTTCAATATTGAACCTCGACACAATCCATTTCGTATCAATCTAATGAACTCGAGAGATGACGTGTAACTGATGATAAATGTCAGCTGAACCCACTATTAAAAAAAAATGTAATTTGCAATGAACAATGCTAAAGTTATATCAATTTTGACTGTACATTACGCATTTTTGTTGCAGAATCTGTTAGATTTTGATAAGATTTATAAGTGGATTTTTTCAATTTAAAAATATAAACCTAGAATGTGAAAGCATGGGAAGGAATGTAGGATACAGAAATTTAAGCTAGAATTGTTTCTGCATAATTACTGTTTTGCCCCTCCCCATTCATAGGCGACGCTATTGGAAGGACAAAATAGACTTTGTCCATGTAGCCACTAGGCCATTTTTAAGCACCATGGTCCCACGTTGTTGGACCAAAAAATTGATATTTTGCCTAAAGTAGGGCGGTCAGAGAGGCACATAATGAGATATAAGTGTGCCAAGTGTAATGCTTTGTATTGTTGTACCCTAGATGGAGGACGGGACTTTTGGGGTTGATTTGTGCTCTCACTCAGAGGGATCCCTTGAAACTTGGTGACTTTTGATTGGTTGCTTTTCAAATTTTCAATCTGGGAAAACATGTAGTCGGTGAAGATTAGTATTTGTTCGAGTTAATTTGAGAGAAGTGTATTTTGAATAGTAATTTTTGGAGGATTCGTGGCCAAAATTGAAGAAATTTTTTTCAATTATTTTATTAAAAAATGTATGGTTGAAACTTGAAAGTAGGTTTTGAAAAAATGATTTTTTTGATAAAATGAGGCTCAAACAAGGATTAAAATTTTAATTTTAATTTAAATCAAAATTAACAATTAATTTTAATCACATATTCAATGAATTCCATAACTTTTCAGATACTTATTTCAAGTGTTTGATGGATATTATTGATGAAATAATCTATTTTAAATAGTGATGTGATGATAAATATGTAGTTAAAAAGTAAGGAAAAATTATTGATGTAATGAAAAATATTACTCCCTCCGTCCCAATTATATAAGCTTGTTTAGTTTTTCATACGGATTAAGAAAGTTTTTTTAATGTCATTAGAAAATTAATTTTTGTCAAGATCTTTCCTAGTTCACCCCTATTTAATTTTGAGTGTGTAAAACTAAATTATTGTTATAATTAATAAAGAATTTGAATTTTTAAGAAGTTGACATATAAAGTGGAGAAAATCTAATAAGGGTATATTGGTAAATGAATACAACAAAATATTTTACATTAGAAAATAAGCCTATATATTTAGGACAAAAGAAAAATGAAACACAACCTATATAATTGAGACGGTGGGAGTATTTTATTGAAAAATGTGTGGTTGAAAAAAATGCATTTTTCTGTTTTTTATTTTTTACTCATTCTTCAATAAAACAATATTATACATAAACCCAAAATTTTTTCTTATTTTTTAATGGAGTATTTTTTTTAAAAAAATTATTATTCCAAAATATTTTTTTAATGGAGCTCAAACAAGAGCATAATCTCCATGAACTATACGAGTGTGTAAAGGAGTCGAGAAGAAAATAACAACTGCTTTTGAATGTGCCACTTGAAGGGGTTACATCAACTTTTACTTACTGGTTTAGGGTTCAAAAAATATAGCAGTTCAGATAAATCCATCCAGATTGTGCAAGCCTTGAGTTCTTCATTGAATCTGCCACCCATATTTTTGCTTCTTAAAATCATTTCGACAATATTTCTAAGAATTGATTTTGAATAGTGATATGATGGGAAATGTGTGGTTGAAAAAGAAGATAAGATTATTGATGTGATAGAAAATATTATTTTATTGAAGAATGTGTGGTTGAAAATGAAAATTGATTTACTGTTGAAAACGAGAATTTTTACCAAACATACCCATATTATATAAGTAATGTTATTCATCTCCAATGTGGTTACAAACGCAGTTTTGGTGGCTCTAAATGATAGGTTAAATGAAATGTGAAATTAAATGACTTATTTAATTCACCTATCATTTAATGCCACATAAACTGTGTTTGTAACCCCAGTGAGGATGAATAGCATTATTCAAATTATATAGACTTGTTTAGTTTTTCACACGGATTAAGACAGTTTATTTAATGTCATTGAAAAATTAATTTTTGCCAACATCTTTCCTAGTTCACCCCTATTTAATTTTCAGTGTGTAAAACTAAATTATTGTTATAATTAATAAATAATTTGAATTTTTAAGAAATTGACATATAAAGTTGGAAAAATCTAATAAAGATATATTGGTAAATGAATACAATAAAATATTCTATATTAGAAAACAAGCCTATATATTTGGGACAAAAGAAAAAGGAAACACAACCTATATAATTGAGACGGATAGAGTATTTTATTGAAAAATGTGTGGTTGAAAATGAGTTTTGAAAGAATATGTGTCAAACATGGGTTTCATTAATCTTTATCAAAATTTACTAAAAATCTAATTTTAGCACACGTTTGGGCTCCATATCAAAAAAATGCATTTTTCTGTTTCTTATTTTCAACTACTCATTCTTCAATAAAATAATATTATATATAAACTCAAAATTTTTTCTTATTTTTTAATGGAGTATTTTTTTAAAAAAAAATTATTATTCCAAAATAAATTTTTAATGGAGCTCAAACAAAGAGTATAATCTCCACCAACCAGAGCATAATAAGATTCAATAAATTATCTAGATTTGAAATTTATTTATTACTAGACTGTTGTCCCCCTTTTTTTATTTTTTAAAATGCATTTTTGGAATAATGATTTGATGTAAAATATGTTGTTTAAAAATAAGGAAATTTTTTGAATTTTCTTGTAATATTATTTTATTAAAAAATAAATGACTAAAAATAAGACAAAAATATATTTTAAAAATATCGTGAACAAAACAAGGGTATGTGTTAACTTATAACAACGAAAACTTATCTTCGTCAAAGTCAAATAATGATTTATATTGAGATGTCACTTGCAAAGCTGTATTCACATTGAAAGAATCAAATGGAATAAGTAATGGAGACTGATTTTGCAATTGGCTTCTTCTTAGTGGAATGAATTGCATCTCCAGGGGTGAAGCGTGTTCATCATCCCCATGAACTATACGAGTGTGAAAAGGAGTCGAGAAGAAAATAACAACTCCTTTTGAATGTGCCACTTGAAGGGGTTACATCAACTTTTACTTACTGGTTTAGGGTTCAAAAAATATAGCAGTTTCGATAAATCCATCCAAAGAATACCACTATTATTCTATATTGTGGAATCTCTACCAGATTGTGCAAGTCTTGAGTTCTTCATTGAATCTGCCACCCATATTTTTGTTTCTTAAAATCATTTCGACAATATTCTATAATGCATTACAAGAAATTAAGCCCCGGTTGATTTATATAAAATATATATATTATTAAATTTTAATTTAAAACTCCTCCCTAGAGGCTAGAAAAGATTTTTTTTTTTTTTTTTTTAAATTTAGGATTGACAATATCCATTTCACCGTTTGCTAGCAATTCCTTTTTGGGTAATTTAATTTGCACTTACAAAATTTTGGGTCTCTAATCATTAGCTTTTATATTATTTTGGTCACCACAGGTGGATTTCGTCTCACGTGTTCGTAAAAACTTCAAGTGCATCTCACGATATAACATGATTTTTGTAAGTAATGGAACACGACTCACTTCTTGAATTGTGTCTTAAGTAATAACATATTTTTTCTTTGTTCAATCATTGAAATTATATTCACGGTCAACTGGAGAATACTTATAAAATGTTCGGCGTGTAATTTGGATAATAAGATAATATTGAGAAAGAAAGAGACAAGTACTTCAAATATTGGGAGGTAACAAGTCAATGTAAGTTTGGCACCATGGGACTTGACTTCATTTGTAAATGCCAAGAAAAATTGAATGGGATTTTAAATCCTCTCTATTAACTATTCAGGATAGAACCAGACGGGATTTGTAAATTTTCCAAATAATTTTGTAGGGTCTTTTCTTCATATATGGGCCATGACATTGTATTTGAAGATCTATATGTACAGGAATGTTAAATTTTCATTGGACAAGCAAGCAATTGATGCTGACATTTGATCCTCTTCTGAAGAATCTGGACCACATTGCACTGCGATGGCAACCTCTTAACTACCATTGCCCAACAACTATGTCTAAACTTAAATTCCCCAGAATTTTTCATGTAGAATTCAAATTATTTTAACCCCAAATTTCATTTCGATCCCCATTTTTTTATATCACAAATCAGAGAATCTATTGAGCTAAATCGTTGCAAGTGCACAGACGAAATAGAAATAGGAAACTTTGTACAAAATCTGAAATCATCAAAACATGCATTATAGCAGGTTCATTCAAAATTGGCTAAAACTGGGATAAAGGAAATGGTTTTGTATCATATGGACCCCATAGTCCCATGGCCTAGTTGACACCAATGGCATCTTTGGTAAGTTAACCGAACACTACTTGACAATATTAAATAAAAAAAAATTTACAAATTTGTTCATACTATTATCTAGTACTATGTACCACCATATCTGTCCGAAGAACATAATTAATCTACGCAGATGTAGCTCTCCCCTTGCCAACTCCAAACAATGTCTTTAAGGGCAGGCCTTACATCCTCCTCACAAAACTTTCTGTACTCGAGTGTGTCGCCAGCAGACTTGGAGAACTCCACCACCGCCACCTCCGGTGCCACCTCGAAAACCTCGGCCATCACTGACAACTTCCCTTTTCGTCCATCGGAAACCCCTTGCACTTTCATCTTAAAATTCTTGGCTAATAAAATCTTAAAATTCAGCTTCTTGGCAACTGATTCTAGCTTGCTCATGATCATCGAAGCTGAACATTTGGACGTAAAAAGAGATCCTGATTTCCTCCTCCCCTCGAACAAACTCGACAAATCGAACCCCGACGACATCGATGATATAAATTCAAATGCATTATAGAAAGGAGGGGATGATTTTGATCTTAAAAAATCTGGTTCTTTACTCTCTGAAGCATCAAGATTTTCTTGAGTTGAAAAAGAAAGTGACCTAATAAACCCTTTGTAGAACCAAGGGACACTCATTATAGCAGGAATTGTAATTCTTTTTTCTGGATCAGCCACCAAAAGTCTTGAAATTAACCTCTTTGATTCATGTGAAAACCAGGGTGGAAAATCAAATTCTGCCTTGAAAACTTTTCTATACATTATCATGATGTTTTCATCTTGAAATGGAAGAAATCCAGCCAATAACACGTATAGAATCACCCCACATGACCAAATATCAGCTTTTGCTCCGTCATACCTGTTGAAGACCAAAATAACAAACAGGACATGGATTAAAAATAGGTGGACACATGGCGCAATATTGGACCGTCCGGAAAAAAAATGGTTTTTCAATCCTGTTTGAGTAGCATTATTTTATCCCAAATTAAAGGTATGTAAGGCTACCCCATACCCTTTTTTCTGTAGAACTTCCGGCGCCACGTACGCGGGAGTCCCGCAACGAGTGTGCAAGAGTCCGTCGATCCTCAACTGCTCTGGCAAGGCGGACAACCCAAAATCCGACACCTTCAAATTCTCGTTGTCATCCAAAAGAAGATTTTCCGGCTTCAAATCGCGGTGGCTAACGCCGCGGCTATGGCAATAATCCACCGCACTAATTAACTGCTGAAAATATTTTTTCGCCAAATCTTCTTTCAATCTCCCTGTCGCCACTTTTGCAAAAAGTTCTCCCCCATTAACATATTCCATTACAAAGAAGATTTTCTGCTTTGTTGCCATAACTTCTTTGATTTCAACAACGTTGGGGTGTCGAACTAATCGCATAACAGAGATTTCACGCTTGATTTGCTCCATCATACCGTCTTTCTTCACCCGATCTTTGTTTATAACCTTAATCGCTACACTTTCGGAGGATTTGAGGTTTTTCCCATAGTACACTTTGGCAAAAGTGCCTTGCCCTAAAACCCTCCCCATCTCGTATTTTCCGAAAATGATGTTTCGATTGGCTCCATTGATAAGGTTGTGATTTTCTTGAAGAGAATGATTTGGTTGTTCTTCCTCCATGTTTGAACAACTCTTGTATGCAATTGTAAAGGCTCCCTTGAAGTGATCCGGTAATAAATAAACTTTTGGGTCCCAAAGGAGAAATTTATTGATAGGTGCCTAGAAAGTTGGGGTTTGTGAAATTATAGGAAGGCGGCGGAGGGAGGACAAGGGCGGTGCCGCAGAATTAAATGAAGTGGTTCGTGTCTGTGTGCTTTTGGAGCGCATTGTTTTGTCCGTCGACAGAAAACTTGCAGCCTATTGAAAGAGAGAAATATCTACGAATATAATATTGAGTTCAATAGCATAAATTAGACATTCCAAAGGCATAATTATAATAATATTGAATTTTTTATTTTATTTAAACCACCACCAAATATATGACTTAGCACCTGTTTATCTATTATTATTCCAAAAAATTATTTGCTACAGAAGATTCTCCACCACACATTCACTCGATAAAATATTTTACACACAAATTAATAAAATTGCTTTATTTTTTAACCACACATTATCCAAAAGAAAATACTATTCATCCCCAGTGGGGATGTATCCCCAATCTATGTGGATGTAAATGATCGGTTAAATGATAGGTGAAATTAAATGACTTATTTAATTTTACCTATCATTTAATGCCACATTAACGCCACATAGATTGGGGATGCATCCCCAATGGGGATGATTAGCATTTCTCTATTCAAAAAATATTATTCATTACTCTGTTTTTCTTCCAATAATGTGAGGCAAATTAATACACTCTTAGATGCATGCTACAGGCCTCAACGCACCAACTCCAGGAGCTTGGCCATTTTTAGCTAGAATTTTTATGTCGTTCCTTCAAAACATTTTTTTTACACACACATTTTCAATTACACATTCACGCAATAATTATATGTGAACTCGATTAAACCTCTATTTGATGCCCGTTAAAAAGAGAATTTTAAGAAAAATAAATTTTAGTGATTTTTAGAGAACGTGTGATTACAAAATAATAAAAGGGGGGGGTTTACATGCAAAAAAAATTATTATAAGAATATGTAGTTGAAAATAAATTTTTGAAAAATAGTAGATTAATAGGGACTTATAGTTGATGGATCAGTTCAACGTATTTCTCCAAGAGAAGCAATATTAAATTATCAATTTGAAAATACAGTTAAGCTTCAAACTTTACAAGACTAGCCGAGCCCAAGCGAGACCTAATATTAAACTATCAATTTGAAAAGTTACTTATTTTTATTATTATTTTAAATACTTGATTATTCTAAAAATCATTTAACAATTAAAATAATACATACCAAACATTTAAAATTATAAAATACTATATTTAATAATTTCTACAATTACTCAATTATACAATTTTTAAATATTCGAAATGCAAAAATTAGACTACTTTTTATAGTTTCGACTTTCAACTATTCAAGTCATACTTAGCATATTTATACGAACTTCATACATACTTTTGAATTTTCCAACAAAACGATAAGTCTCAAAATCATAATTACATAATATAGATACTATCGTAGTTTAAATCTTATTTAAATTCTTATCGAATAAAGTCAATTTTTATTTATGTACAGATAAAATCATTTTAAAACTTAAAGCTAAAGTCAAATAAAAATCCTTTTAAATAAATAAATAAGTTAATAAACTAAAATCAAATAAAAAGTTTCGAAAAGGAGGAAAAATAAATAATAATAATAATAATAATAATAATAAAAAAGAGCATCTAGTCATACTTAGAATCTTAGATGAACCTAGTCACCTATTAATTCGTGCTTACTATGAAAACAAAGCGCTTTGTCCACACCTTGTACCTAAACGCACTTTTTAGAACACTGATTGTTATTAGATTGTTCTTTAATAACAAAAAAAAAAAATTAATCTAATAATGTAGTGCAAAACACAAAATTATTGTTTGAATCGAAAATGTAGACAAGATATGCATGAGGGTGGGAGTTGATATCTCATGTGTAATTTTTGTTGTCCAACTTGCTGCCTACTCAATTAATTATCGATACATCATTTTTAAATTAATATGTCATCTCTAATTTACCATAATTAACTTCACTAACCCACCAAATTGATGACATGTTAATTCAAAATGATGCGTCAATAATTGATCAGATGGACATCAAATTGAATAGCAAAGGTTGAATAGTATATCTCAACTTCGAGATTAGATGGTTACATATATCATATCTAAATAATTTATGAATAGATCTCACAAACATGTCAAGATTTACGAATTTAAAAGTAAAAAAAGACTTTAATATACATGAGATTTTAATATTAAGAAGGGTAACTATATTCAGACTATAATTTTTATTATTTGCATCATATTTTAATTATAATGAAAGTCCTCACTATTTGTTCATTTTTATATTTACGTTTTTTACTTCTTTTTTTTCCGTGTTTTTTATCCATAACCTTCAGTTGATTATTATATGATGACATCCAAATATTTTGGAGAAGTGCACTGAAATTAGGAAAAATATTTTGTCTAATTTTGTATTTGTTGTTTTTTTTTTTTTCCTTTTCTAAAAATATGAAACATGTTGTCAACAATATTGTAAAAAAATAAAATTATAAACCAATA